TACAACTAGGTGGTACAACTAAGGTCTGGTACAACTAGGAGGTACAACTAGGATGGTACAATTAGGAGGTGGTACAACTTGGATACCAGTTGTACCACGTATACCTAGTAAAGGGGTAGTTTCGTCCTTTCATTAAAAGGAGGAGAGTATGTGGATTAGAGGAGAGTATGTAGATTAATTCTTTGACTCTGAGGAGCAATTGAGATTAGTCTCCATAGAAATAAGTCATACTATTATTTATTTTTATTAAAATTATTTATTTTACATCCCTGCATATAGCTCATGATAAATAATACTAGCGTTCCTCTTGTCAAATGATGTATATATAAAGAACCATGTGTGTATGTCATGTTCAGATTATTAATGAAATCTTTATGAAAAAAAAGACCATTTAAAGAAGGACAATGATTCCGGCGCTCCTCGCCGGAGCTGTGAGAGGATCTTGTTGGTATTTCTTTGCTTCATTAGCCCTCTTATCAGTCTTCTCCGTTGTTCAATGTGTGGTTGTTGTCGAGGTTAAAGTGGCAGCGAGTCATTTTGGTTGTGGGGGAATTAGATCTGGCTCCTTGGTGTCTATGTGCTCCGGGATCTGCTCTAATCTTCGTCGTTTTGTATCCTCGTCGTTGTGGTTTCTCGCCGATCTGGTTGTTGGTGGATCTGCTTCTTCGTGTGCTTCGCCAGTTTCTGATCCTTTGCTTCATTGACTCCGGTAACCTGCTCCTTTAGCTTCATTTGTCTTGTTGACTAAGTATTTGGCTTAGTTGTTGTTCGGGTGGTTTAATAGTTGACTTAGGCTGGATCAGAGGATGAATGGCTTTATGTTGGCTCTATTTCGTCGGCTTGTTCGTACGCCTATGTCGTATGTTCCGGATCTAAAGTTTGACTGCCCCTAATTCTCTGATTTTGGTTACTAGTCCGGAGCGTGGCTTTGACTTGCTTGTTCTCTATTTTGTATTGGATTTGTTTGAATTTGCTCCTCTTTTCTACTGATGGTCTTTATGGTGGTCTCTCCGGTTCGATCTTGTGCTGTGCTTTTCTGGGTATGGTGTCTTCCGGTTTTGAGGTCGGTTTCGCTCCTTGTTTCTACATTCAAGACTCGATCGAGGTCTGGTCAGTTCAAAGGCTTTTACTTAGGCGTTCAAAAGTCGTTGTTTTCGACATCGCCGCTTTCGGAAGAAGTTTGGTGGAACTATAATTCTTTGTCGTGGTTCTTTCTTGCCGGAATAGAAGTCTAGGTTCACTTCATGTGAGAGGTAGTTTTGATTCACTATAGGAGGTTTCGTTGCTTGCGTTGTTTGTGAGTGGCTTTGATCATCTTGGTTTAGAGGAGTTTAAGTCACCAAATCTCTTCTTTAGAGGTCTTGTTTTTAGTCGTTGTCTTTTGTTTCGTCTGTTGAGGGCTATGCCCCGTTCTTTTTTATGCTTCCCTCGTTTGGGCTTAGTTTCCGGGGATATCTTTGTCTTCCGCCGGCTTTGTGTATTAAAATCGTATTCCACCCCTGTATTCCTCAATCGTATAATATAATGGAAAAATTTAGACGAAAAAAAAAAAAGAAGGACAATGACAAAATAAACGTTAAAAAAAAATTGACAAAATAAAATAAAATAAAAGAAGGGTTTTTTGGTGTGTATGTCATGTCCAATAGGCTAAATATTTGGGCCATTGAATTACATGTCTGGGCCGAAAGTTAAGTAGGTCCATTGAAGCCTTGTTTTTAAGATAGATTTTTTAAATATATTTAGGTCATTCTTTCGTACACTTTCATTCTCTTGGTCTTGGGTGGAAGAATCAAAACAAATGTCACGCGTCGATTGAAACTCCGATATGTTTGACATACTCTATACTTCTCAAAATATGAAATGGCATTTATACACACTGTAATTTTGATAAATCATTTATGTCTCTGCAACGGTCATTTTATCATTTTTATAAATTAACAATAAGTTATAAATGAAATTGCAATTATAAATTTATACATACTTTCATTTCAATTCGCTTTAAGAATTTATCTAAAGTTCATCCAAATTCACAGCATAATGTACAATATCATTCATATCAGTTTGATACAAAGAATATACGGATAAAAGGGTAATTACATTTTCGGCACTAGAAAGTAGCATGCATTATCAAAGTTACTATTTCCTTCCAACAAAATAAAACAAGTCCCATATCTGCCGATTTATATTTGAAAAGTTGTCATATATATATATATATATGTATATATACATATATATAAACGCCCCCTCTATAATTTAGTGGGTCACATCACATGCTCTCTAATTATTTCATATGAGAAGCCATTATCCGAGAAAAAGAAGATGATATATGTAAAGCCACGAAAATGAAATTTGCAGAAACATGGATATCCACGAATGGACCGTCACAAGATCTTCCAATAATATTTAGCTTTTTTCAGTCAAACCTAGAGAGAGTCAGTGAGTTGATGATGAAGCCCTCGTGTTGTACGTAGCTGCCAAACACTAACATATTCAAATCCACCCAATTAATAAAGCTTCGGAGCCCAATAATTTTATTTGCCTTTTTGACCTCCATTATGTCAATAGGGTCAAGAGGTCACGGGAATATAACAAAAAATAGTTGGACATTTCTATAATTCTATTTTTAATCTAAACTATTATGTATAAATTTCTTTAAATTTGGAGAAAAAATATATTTGAGCTATTGGAAGCTTTCATGAACATTTGCAAGTTGTAGATGCATCTAAGTCACATGTGGTGCATGTAGACTTGCTCGTATGAATTTAATATTCATACGTTATATGTTTTTTTTTTAAGTTTATGTTTGATATATTGAATTGATGTTTCTAGAACATTATGGATGTTAATTCAAGAATAAATAGAAAAACATCAAAAATCTGGTTTAAAAGAAAAAAAACAGAGTTCTTCACACCGAAAGTTGTACGAGCTCGATACGGTGATCTATGTTTCGGCTGAAACGAAACCAACAAAAAATATTATTAGACAGCATATTAAAACGTTGTTATTTTATTCATATGGAATTGAGGTGTATTAGTGTATATGAAATTAGTAACATTATTTAACTTCTAAGAGAAAGCATGACATATTGACATATGAGGTGGTAGATATATGGGGACAGTCTTTATGCTGATAATGAGAAACAACTAAACAAAGAACCATTAATTAGTTGCATTTGTCTGAAAGAATTTTGGATTTTGTTCATTTAGCTTTTTCGTTATTGCTTTTTATGGGTATGTTCAATTCATCTATATATATGCAAAGCATTATCTACAGTGGTTGCAACAAATGCAGATGCTTTTGTTCCCAAATAATTTAACTTTTTTCCACGGATGAAGAATATCGATTAAAATATCCGAAATTTGGAATAAATTTCAGTTATGGTACATTTATAAATAAATACGTGCGCCATATATACTTACAACACTGAAAAGTTAAGAACTTTTTGACATCAAAATAAATGTTTCAAGGGATGATTGAGCCAGAAATGTGCTTTTCCTTTCATGAATTTTGTATATTTTCATTTACCCTTATTCTAATCAGACCATTGATTTAATTAGTTAATCTGAAATATATAAAACCGGATTAAAGGCCTCGGATTAGGATCGGATACTGTTACCTAGATGTCATTTTTGTAGTTGACCATGTTTTTTTTTTTGTTTTTTTTTTCCTATTTTAGATGGGAAACATTTAATCGTCCAAATCTGAAAATGCCAAAAATAGTGATAGACAAGTAGCCAAATGGTTCCGGCCCGTTCTCTCATGTTCATATGTATATGTTTTAAGGACAGTCTTAATGTGGAACCAAATAAAGTTAAATCTAATAGTAATCTGCGTTGTGGATTGGATTTAATCTTGTATAGAGAAGCGATGGGATGATCCGATGTTTCCTGTATGATATATTCTCTGCCTCTTGCATGGCCTTTTGAAAGTATTGGGGATAGAATCGATCATATACCTTACCCCACAAAAAAAAGTCTTAATTTGAAACAGTTTGCTTAATATGGTACGCCAAATCACTCAGGCTTAGTATCTAACAAAGCATGCTATAAATCCAATTTCCGAAACATATTTTTAACATATATATGGAATGTACGTATAACGTCTTTATCGAAAGTAATAATTTCTTACAAGTTAGGCCTGGGCATTCGGGTACCCGTTCGGGTTCGGTTCTTTTTTTTCGGGTATCGGGTCTATTCGGGTAGGGGGTCAAGACCCATTCGGGTATTCTAAAAATTCGGGTTCGGTTCGGGTTCGGGTTCGGGTCGGTTCGGGTATTTTAATAAAAAAGCAAAATACCCGAAAATAACCAAAAATACCCGAAATATTTTCGGGTTCGGGTCGGGTTCGGGTCGGGTTCGGGTTTTTAACTCATATATACCCAAATCTAACCGAAATACCCGATTTCTCGAAAATACATTGGTTACTCTTACCCAAATATAACCAAAAATATCTAAAATACCTAATATATTCGGATTTATGATTGTAATTTTAGGTATTTCGGGTATTATAAATATAAATATAACTAATATTTTTAGGTGTATATTTGTATTCGGGTACATTCGGGTACATTCGGGTATTGGATTCGGTTCGGGTTCGGTTCGGGTTTTTTTCGGGTAGGAGGTTAGGACCCATTCGGGTATTTTTAAAAATCGGGTTCGGGTTCGGTTCGGATATTGTTCGGGTTTTTCGGTTCGGGTATTCGGTTCCGGGTATTTTGCCCAGGCCTTGATGTGTTAACATGTTTCTACTTTCTTATTTTGGTTTTATTCATATAAGAGATGGTAGGGTCTTATAATTCATATTAGGAATGGTAGGGTCTTATAAACATGTTTCACGAAAATGAAAGAAAAACAAAGTGGTTTCTAAAAGGACAAGGCATAAGCATGTGAACTTCATCCATTAGCTCCACCTGATATGTTCCTCAAACTTTTACACTCTTCAATAACTTGCGGTCAAATTTTCTTTCGATTCCCTATATATACTTAAAAAACTTAGAGAAACTTGCTAACAAACATAATCCATTTCCCTAGAAGCCCAAGACATTCAACATTCTTCACAAATTTCATCACCTAAAAAGTTTTTCAAAATCTCCCTTTTTAGTTACTTTCATTGATCCTCAAAGATGGGTATCCAATTGATCGGACTATCTCAAGCAAAGCAAAAGCTTCAAAGAAGCTTATCGGCAAGAATCGCAAGTCTCTTGGCTTCGTCGGGTACTAATAATGTCCCAAAGGGTCATGTGGCCGTCTATGTGGGGGAGACTTATCAAATGAAGAGATTTGTGATACCCATATCGTATCTAAACCATCCACTGTTCCAAGGTTTGTTGAACCTCGCGGAAGAAGAGTTCGGGTTCGACCATCCCATGGGAGGTCTCACCATCCCTTGCACTGAAGATTACTTCACTGCTCTAGCTTCGATTCTAAGTGGTTCATGATAAGGGAGCTCACTGATCATCACAACATTCATTAGGTTTCTTTATACAAATCTTTGTGTTTCTCTTAAAATGTATTTTAAGGGGAGAGAAAATAACTCGAGACTGAGATACTAAGTGAGCCTCTTTCAAATTTTGATCTAAAATGATCGTGTGAGTTCTTTTTAACCATTCCATTTGTAAAGAATTCACTTTCTGAAAAATTAATCTATGATTCTTTTTGTCCATTAACAGCTATAGCCTTTGGATGTGAAATCTCATTAGCATAGTAAGAAGTATCCACAAATATATATGCCTCAAACATCTCCAGGAGCGTACCTTGAAATTTTAAGGATTACCTTCGTATTAATACAAAATATATACTACAAACACACAAAAAAAAAATTACATAGATAATATCGATAGTAAAATTTGAAACTTCTGGATAAAAGGTTATGTAAAACTGTTGAATTTTTTTATATTTAATTAAAAAGTTTTAGATTTTATGTCCACAGTTTTTCTGGAAACAATTTAGAAAGAACTAAATCTTTGTATAATATTGGTAAAAGACAAATTTCCCAGCCAATTATGCAATTTTTTCCTTTATACATTTTGGTTTTGATTTTACTGTTGCCTAAGCCCCCTCAATTACATAAAACAATAAACGGCCTTACCAAACGGATAATCAAACCAAACAATAGTACAATACTAATACTTAAGACCAATTAATTACTTTCAGTTTCTAATAAATTTACTACGCTTCAGACGAGAAGTGATGTCAATAAAGACATCTTTAGCACAAGGGATCGTAAGGGATTTCCTCTGATGATCTGTGCCGAATTCATCTTCGGCTTTACGCAACAAGGCTTGAAACAAAGGATGGTTTAAGTAAGATATTGGAACCATAAATCTCTTGGTCTCTTCCTCGTCTACACCAACATATACCGCAAAGTGACCCTTTCGTACGTTGATTATGTGTCTTAAACGCGATATCTTTTTATCGACTACTCTCTTGACTTGAAAAACTATAGTCTTGAATTGAATCATATTTATCTTTCAAATGAACTAACTTTGTTACTTGAACGAAGATGCATGTGTAGACTTTGTGACTTTATCTACTTTATAGGGAGGAGGGTTTGTTGCTTTAGGAGTAGTAATTCATTGTTATAAATATCAAAGGATTTTATCACATATTGAATAGTAATTGACATAAATAATGGATATGTATAAGTATCTTAAATATATATTATGATATAGTTTGTATTTTTTTCTCTAACTTTAAAAACTAAAATATTATCTTCTATCTTAATTTTATTAATGAATCTATCAAATTTTCTCATTATTATTTGTTGTCAACTTAAGATTTGCAAACAATATAAGACTGCACACCAAAAAATTATATTTAAGATGAAACTCATAAATATTTGTGAATACACCAATTAAAGTATTAGCTATCCTCATGTATATATGATTCCTTAAAAGTTTAGAATCTACCAATTGTTTCAATGCAGGCCGCAAAAGCGGTATCATATTTAGGCAAACTCTGAATACTAGATATGATCAAAATCTTAAATGTATATATTATTTATACCTTTTTAAAAAAATATTTGAAATTTATATGTTTAAATAGACATTTGTTGAGAATTAAATTTTGCATTCTGGGACACTCCGAACTCACTAATTATTGAACATCCTTGCATGCTTCTTTCGTTGGTTTTCTTTCCTTTTGTGGTATTCTTTTGTAATATTGTTTGTTTCATAGATTTCAGTCTTTTATATTTCTACATAGTACTGTCTCTATCTTCTATAAATTTTTTTGAAAATTTAATATTTTAGAAAAATATATATAATGTGAAAAAACAAAATTAGCTATATATATGAAGATTGACGACGAATCTAAGGCTTGAGAACTCCCCCTCCGTTTTTTCCCGCAATTAGTAGTTTTGTAGGGCTCAAAGACAGAGACCAAAAAAATATGTAAAATGGAGGACATGATGAACCCTGTTTTTTTTTTTTTTTTTTTGTGTAAGGCGTGTATATATAATATATCATATAATTAATGAGCATCTCACACTTAATTAGAAATCCGAAATTCGGTCAAAATAAGTAAATAACTTACCTACTACTACTAGTATATTGTTTATGAAAACCTTAGGAACCCTCACAATAAGATGCTTTGTTTTGATTATCTCTGTTTTTCTTCGTTTTTTTTTTTTTTTTGAAAAGACGATGTTACCGTCCTTCACGTTAACTGTATTACAAAAACATTAACCACTATCGCTATGAGTTCGACATAGAACTTAAGAGTCGCGAAAATCTATTGGCAAACTGAAGTGTCCCACATCCAATAATTCAATTCCCCGAATATTTTATATATACTTGGTCCAATAAAGAAACCAAAGCTCGATATAATATTATTGAAACATAAAGTTGGTTCAGATATTTATTATTAGTGAAATATTTTAATAAATTTTGGGTAATGTTTTATCAAATTTTTAAAAAAATCTGGAAATCATATAACATAGACATAATTTATAGTATCTACTTAATTAGTGCCAGATTTATTTTTCAGTAAAAATCAATAGTAAATTAAAATTGTCTCATTTTAACAAAATCGTATAAAATAAATAATTTACTGATGATTTTTTTTTTTTTTTTTTTAACATTTTTTGTAACATACTAATGAAATGTTAGTTTTACAAATACCCATTATATATAAAGATAAACACAAAATTTGTCAAAATCACTCACGCGTTGATGACATATTACATATAAGCCAAATTTATATGTTTCGTTCAATTTCTCTATGCAACTCTTCTCTTCCAAAACACTAAACCATCTATGTCAAAGAACTATTTTAGGTCTAAATGCGAAGAACATATATCTACCACAATCAAATAAGATAAGAGAAAAAAGGTCGTAGTAGGCCATAGGCAGCAAATAGCTATAGATCTATGAGGATTTTGTTTTCGATCTATATCGATCACTAAACAGTACTATGTTGTATGTTCAAATTTCAGTCCAGCCACAGTCACCATCATCCTCATAATCACATGCAAAGATGTGCAATTCAGATCTTATCCAATGGACTGACTATAGAGCTGCAATTTTAACAAACAAATATATCACATATTTCAATATAATACTAAAAAAATTATTATTTCAAAACTAGAAAACCATCTCGTTACTCTCATCTTTCGTCCCAGCAGTACGGCCCCTAGTTTGAGAGCGAAGGAAAATATACTTTAAAGACTTCGGAACTTATATACATACTGTTTCAACTATAACGATCTCCCATATTGCTAAAAGTGGCTCAAGAACTGGACCCACTTAGGCTGATCCAGGTCACATTATTTACCATTTCGAGGCTCTAATTAAATATGCATATACCCAAAACTTTTTATATTTGCAATCATGTAGAAACTTATATTATGTGCAATTTTTTTGTTTCTTTTTAATATAGATGCTGATGAGCTAAGCCATGTGAGCCAGATGGATGACGGCATGGCCCAACAGCCCACAACTTTTGGGGTTTTTTTAGTAATCAAAATATCGCATCGTACTGTTTTTTTTAGCGTTGAAGTCTTTTCCTTATCTTGAAGTTACATACTTTAAGTTCACTACTATAAATAGAAACTTCTTCCCCTCGTTGTCTATCAAATCATTTGCTTTTTTAAAAAAAATTTACCTCCTCAAATTGATAAGTTGCAAATATAAAGAAGAAAATGGGTTTAATGCGGTCGATGCTTCCAAATGCAAAGCAAATCTTCAAATCACAATCTATGAGAAACAAAAACGGATCATCATCATCATCATCAACAACAACAACTTCAGGGCTTGTTCCGAAAGGTCACGTAGCGGTTTACGTGGGAGAACAAATGGAGAAAAAGAGGTTTGTGGTTCCAATATCATACTTGAACCATCCTTTGTTCAGAGAATTTCTTAATCGCGCTGAGGAAGAGTGTGGATTTCATCACTCCATGGGTGGCTTGACGATACCTTGTAGAGAAGAGTCGTTTCTTCATCTCATTACTTCTCATCAGCTGCATTGAGGAACGCATTTAATATTCTTGAGGGCTTTAATGAAGCAGTTTTTGTTTCTTCCTTTAAGAGGAGAAGTAAAGGAAAGTTACTTATATGTGTGTATATGATGACACTTGTTCAGAGCTTAAGTTGTATTTTGAAATAAGATTTTAAAAGTTGAACTAATATTGATATTCAAACCATTAAAAGCTTTTAACTTTTACAGTAAAAATGGTGGAAAGTAAATTAAACTTTAAATGACGGTACAGTAAATATTTATTATTTCTTAATATTTGTTTTGGCTAAAAACACAAATATTAAGAAATAATAAATATTTAAATTTATAAAAATTCAACCAATAAAAGAAATAAAAGAAAAACGTAAAACATCCTATATATTGAGACAAATGGAGTATTAGAAAACTACTGTAAATTTATTGATAATGCAACAACACTATCAAAAACCAGTAATTAATAAAAGCATTAGATAATAAAAAAGGAAATTTCTCACATAATGGGAAATCTCTATTATAAGTTTTCATTTGTTTTGTACTTTAAATACCAGCTCCAAAAATATAGTATCTCCAAAAAAAACATATAAGATTCTTTAAGGAATTTAAAGTATTTTAAAGGAATGGTGGATCACATGCACTCTGAAGAAACTAAAATGGGTTGTAAGTGAATTAGTGATGAATAACAATAGTATGATCTATATTTTCTTCATATCAATAAATAATATTTATTGAAAATGATTGAAACAGTACTGCGCAATTTTATTATAGTGAAACTTGTCATAATAAATGATATAAATCATATCCAAATTATTGCAGATTTAGATTGTCAAATGTCAAGCTCATGTTACTCTCCGTTATTAGGAAGAGATAATTGTGATCATAATAATGAAAATAAAACACGTGACCATTTTTTCAATAACTGCAATTTCTTAGAATAACTGTAATTGCACTCATTTATAATTACATGCGAATAATAACAATCTTAATTAATTTCTCTCGATCAAACATTGGAATGAATATTTCAGGATCCAGTGACATTAGCTCAACTGCTTGATTTCATTTTATCAAGAAATTTTCATTTTGAACTTTCCACCGTAT